TAATGCAAATAAACATTTCGTCTAAAATATCCTGTTATCCATTTAAAGTCTAAGATCTGAATTTTCCAACCCATTATCTTGCTTATCAAATTTCGATTTACCATCGATTCATGTTGCAGAATACACTTTGGCAAATTCTCCTTCAACAATTTCTTATATCTGGGAATCTATCAAAAGTCACGAAGCTAGAAATTGTTGATATTCTTATTTCTTGCATCTCTTGAATCATATATTGATTATTAAATTTGTTGATTTTGTCCATCCTTCAATTATAAACCAAGATCATATGTGAGGTATATAGTTAAATCATGTTATGGAACATAACAAACCTCCATATTCTTTACAACATAATTTTTCCCAAAAAAAACTTTTAATTAAGATTACAATTATAACTAAATTTTCTTCAATTTTAATTTATTTTTAATCGAGATAAAATCAAGCGAAAGTCCCTTTAATAAGAATTCTAACATTTAAATTCTGAATTTATTAAAATCAATTGTAATTTAAAAATACAAGTACATTAATTGATTCAATAATTATGTTAAAACGAGGCCGTTACATTCGAATTTAATATGTGTTTTTTACCTTCCTTTCATACCACGCTATTTTCACCGTCATGGTGTCCAAGTTCATCGCAGTTACGTTATTTGATTTGCCAATTTGTGGGAACAGAATTCCATCATCATCACAATCAAGGTTCATTTCATCGAAGACGTTTCTGAAAGGATTTTGCTACCATTGGAATTATTATCACATTCATCAACGATTTGAAAATGAGATTCTCGGTTGAGTTGAACACATTAAAACCACAACTGAACAGACCTGTAATATAGATTCATTCATCTTGTGCAAAGAAAACAAGGCCCTGAAGTTTATTTGAGAAAATCGATTCTGCGAGAGTGCAAGAACACTCTTTATCCTCTTTATCGCCTTTCACTCAAAAATACTTCTTTTAAAATTATATGGACACGCGTTTATCAAGATTGTGAACTGATAAATCATTACGAGTTATTAGAGTTGTCGAAACAGTGTTTAAAAATATTAGGAGAACAAAAAAGTTCTA